TGCCGAGCTGGTCCCAGTGACCAACAGGTCAGTGTTGGAGCCGTGCTTGTACCCAAGAGAGACCTGTTTCCTCACAGCATTTAGCAAGTTTCAATTTCAATGTCCCATTCTCTCTTTTCACCGCTCCTCCACTGGCTAGATGATAGGTACAATGTTTTCTGAGGTCGACACCTAGAAACTCTCCAACCTGTTGGATAGCAGCATTAACAAAGTGAGAAACATTATCACTGCTGATTCTGGCTGGAATTCATCTGGGAACAATCTCTGTTAACAGTGCTTTAGCCACTGTCTGGCTGCTGGAATGTTTAGCAGGAAAAGCTTCTACCCACTCTGAAAACATGTCAACCATAACAAGGCAGTACTTTTTCCACCACCATCAGGCGTTCAAGTGATGGACAGGTGTAGGGTGTGCTGCTTGTTGTGTGAGTGGTGTTGTTTTACCTGGATTGTTGGTTGCACAAATCATCCATGACTGACAATATTTCTGAGCATAGGTAGAGAACCCTTTTGTGAACCAGTGCTGTGTTGAGGTCCAATATTCCCCCTTTGGACACATGGTCAAGACAGTGTGCAAGTTTGGCGTAGTGATGAAAGAAGTGTTTCGGCAGGCAGGGTTTGCCATCAGGCCCCCACCAGATAACAGCAGCTCCACAGGAGTGCCATAGCTACTTCTTTGGAGGAGTAGCAAAAGACTGTAGTGCAAGGAGAGAGCTGGGAACAGACACAGGAGTACAAACAAACAAGGCATGTGTAGGCATGTGTGGGTGGAGGAGAGTGCTGCCTCCTTTGCAGCTGCATCTGCTCGGGAGATGAGAGCTGTTAGTGTGAGCTTGACATTTACACACAGCAATAGCTTTGGACAGTAAAATGGCATCAAGTAAGGCTGCAATTTTGTCATGATGAACAATGGGTTTACCTTCAGATTTAAGAAACTGTCTGTGTTTCCATAAAGATCCAAAATCATGCACAACTCCAAATGAATATCTCGAATCAGTATAAATATTAACCGTCTGCCAGTTTGCACGCTTCAGTGAGAGCAACCCGTTCAGCTGCCTGAGCAGAGAAGTGAGAGGGGAGGGCTGCAGAGGTTAGAGTGGCACGAGAAGAGCACATAGCATAACCGACACAATTTAATCCTGTAGTTGGATCTCTGGATGCGGAGCCATCTACAAACAGAATAAGATCAGGGTTGGTCAGTGGTGTTTCCTGGAGGTCAGGTCGAGGTGAACAGACCTGTCGAAGAATGGCAACACAGTTATGTCCCTCACCATCAGTAGGTGTGGGGAGAAGAGTTGCAGGATTCAAAGAAGTGCATCTTTTTACCTTGATGTTAGGCATATCTAACAAAACAGTGTTGTACTAAAGCTAATGTGCTGTGGAGAGATGTTTTTTTTGTTCGAACAAAATCATTGAGACAGCATGAGGAACAAGTAAAGTGACATTAGAATAACCAACAATGTCTCTGGAAGCCATGATACCTTTCTCAGCAGCTGCCACTGCTCTGACACAGCGAGGTAGTCCAGCTGCAACAGGATCAAGCTTAGCAGAGAAATATGCAACAGGGCATTGACATCCCCCATGTTCCTGCAAAAGAACAGAGGTTGTAAATGCATTTTTCTCATCCACAGTCTGTTTGAAAGGTCTCGTCGGGTCAGGCAAAACTAAAGGCAGAGTAGTTTGTAGTGCCAACTTCAGGCCAGTGAAAGCCTCAGGAGTCCATGTCACTTTTTATCGTTTGATTGAAGGCCTTTACCATGAATCAGTGCACTCAGGTTTTTCCAAGACAGCATAATTTGGAATGATATTATGCTAATGAATCATGGGGAAGAATGTGTATAGTAAATATAGTCCACCATGACCTGTTTTCCTGCATGCGCTCATGCTTGGCTTTGAAGTGCCTCAGCATTGATGACGTATTATTATACACCAATTGCTGGGGACACAGTAAGCACTGGACCTGTGTAAACAGCAATATGCAAACAAATTATTAGATACATCACTATAATGCTACTTAATGTTGACTTCAAATACATCATGGATATATGAAGACTATTGTACTGGCTGTACTGACAGTATTAGCCATGTATGCAACTTTGCCTAAGTTACATAAAGGTGCAGTAGCATAACCAAGGAGTAATAAAGCACCTACCTTATTAGGACTGATCAGCTGAAAGTGATGCCACATTGGAGAACGGCTTCTCTTCCTAGCTGGCTCCATGATGGTGATCAAACAAAAGCAGTCATGATAATAACGACAGCAGCTACGCACACACCTACTACGACAGCAACCCCACATGTTGTGCATCATTTTGGGTGGCTATATAGTGCTTTTACATGCCTTCGAACCTGCTGAAGTGCGCACAGTAAGGTCTCACGTTATGAAGCAGTATCGACTGGTTTGAACTAGTCATGTGATTCACTCAGGGGACCGAAGCAGTTTCTGTTTCGGACGTCATCGGTGACATGTCTTTTTCTGCACCAAAGCAAGCTTCGAAGCAGTGGTTCAAGGAAGATGCTACTTCGAGTTTGAAGCTTGTATCGGAGCATTGGTGTCAGACAGCCATCACTACTGCAAACCTTAAACTGATGTTTTAGACCCACTACTTGATGTTTGAAGTCTGATGTCCAATTCTTGGCACTGCAAACTTAATGTCGTGAACTATTCTAGAAATGATCTTTTGTCTGAGATATGATGATTGAAGGATGTCATGAAAAATGCTACATACTTGGAATTCATGCTTCGTTCTAGCATGAGATTTATCTCTTTCTCTCTACATCTGTCATTATAGACACAGACAGACACAAAGACATCGCCTCATCACCACTGTCACCAGCATGACAAAGCCTTCCTATCACAGCATGATCTAAAGAGTCATCAGAAATCTAACACAGGAGATAAACGATACAGCTGTGACTACTGTGGGAAAACTTTTACTAAGAAGAGTCATGTAAATGACCATCAACGAATTCACACAGGAGAGAAACCATACAGCTGTGACCACTGTGGAAAAAGTTTCACTTGGAAGAGATCCTTAAATGACCATCGACAAATTCATTCAGGAGAGAAACCATACAGCTGTGACCACTGTGGAAGAAGCTTCACTTTGAAGAGTTCCTTAAATGAGCATCGACGAATTCATACAGGAGAGAAATCACGCAGCTGTGACTACTGTGGGAAAACTTTTACTAAGCAGAGTTTCTTAACCCAACATCAACGGATTCACACAGGAGAGAAACCATACAGCTGTGAAATCTGTGGGAAAAGTTTTAGTTTGAAGAAATCCTTAAAAGATCATCAACAAATTCATACGGGAGAGAAACCGTACAGCTGTAATCACTGTAGGAAAACTTTTACTACAAGGAGTTGCTTAAACCAACATCGACGACGTCACACAGAACAGAAACAATACAGCTGTGATCTCTGTGGAAAAAGTTTCACTTGGAAGAGATCCCTAAATGATCACCGACCAAGTCATACGGGAGAGAAACCATACAGCTGTGATTACTGTGGAAAAACCTTTGCTCACAAGAGAATTTTAAAGCAACATCGACAAATTCACACAGGAGAGAAACCATACAGCTGTGATCACTGTGGAAAATCCTTTACTCAGAAGAGTCATGTAAAACGACATCAACGAATTCACACAGGACAGAAACCATACAGCTGAGACCTCTGTGGGAAAAGTTGCACTACAAAGAGTTGCTTAAATGAGCATCGACAAATTCATACAGGAGAGCTTCAGACTGTTTTCACTATACCTGCTCCTACAATGTGGAGTGCTCTTTCACCTTAGCTTTGTTCTATTAGTGATCTCTCCGTCTTCAAATCCAAACTAAAGACTTGCTCATTTACTTTCGCTTTTGGTTCCTAGCAAAGCGTAAGAAGTTTTGTTGCCGTTGATCACTTTCTTATTGTTTTCAGTTTTTAATGTTGGGTTTTTTATATTGTGTTTACCAGGTGTAAGTAAAGCACTTTGGTACACTTTCAGTTATTAAGTTCTATATAAATAAGGTTGAGCTGAGAAAGGCCATACATATGTAACCAATGTGGGAATAGACTGACTTTGGAAGTGTCCAGAGATGTAGTGCTATTTGGTGAAGTACCAAAGTGCACCTATAGCTCCCCCCCATGCATGTGCGTGGTTCATTTGTGGCCTGTTTTGAGGGCCATGTAAAAGCTTTTACTAAGGAGGCATCTGTAATTACCCCATGATGTTATACTGACTTTATTCTCTGGTGAATTTGTAACTGCTTGTCACAGAGTGCATGTTAAAGCCATAAAAATTCTTATAACTAGGGTGTAATCTGCACGGGGCACCAGGGCCAAATCCCAACCAAAATATGTAAAACAGAAATCCTCTCTCCATATTTGTCATGATGGTATCTTGGTATTTGGTATATGTTTACTGGCATTGCCGGTAAACGTGTGTCTTATTTGTGGCACTAATGTGGCTGTAATTAAGGAATATAAGCTAAGACGGCACTACGAGACAAAACATCAGGACAAGCTGAAAAATGTGAATGCAGAACAGAAGCTACAGAAGGTAGAGGAGTTGAAGAGGAATCTGACATCACAGCAGACGTTTTCACCAAAGTGAAATCACACAGTGAAGCTGCTGTGAAAGAAGTTTTATTGTGGCAGAGGAGAAAATCAGCCCGGACATTTACCGAGGGAGAGTTTCTGAAGAGCTGCATGATGAAAGTGTGCGACGTCTTGTGTCCAGACAAAAAGCAGATGTTTGCTAATGTAAGCCTTAGTAGAAATACGGTTGCTGATTTTAAGTCTAAGTTTATTTATTTTGGAATAATATTGTATCCTGTCTGTTTAGATTCATACTTATGTTCAATAAATGTTTATCCTGTTTGGCCCATGACCTAAAGTGTGCTTTGAGTTTTGGCCCCCTGTGCGATTGAGTTTGACACCCCTGTTTTAGAGGTTCCTAGGGCCAGATATAAATGCTGAGGTGACCATGCTTTTACTGTCGCAGCCCCTAAATTGTGGTATAATCTACCTTTTAATGTTAGGTCAACTACTGACCTACTTTTAAATCCTTGCTTAAAACATATTTGCCTTGGCTTTTAATGCACAGTAGGGCCTGATGCATTCCTTTTAATCTAATTTACTGAATGTGTGTCATCTGTGTCTGAGTTAGTTTTATTTTTACAGTGAATCTATTAATTTATTTTAGTTATTTATCATGACTTGATTCTGTCTGTGTAAAGTATTTTGGTCAACTGGATGTTTTTAAAGTGCTATATAAATAAAGTTGATTTGATAAATATTTGCATTGTACATGTGGTTCCTGATGTCTCACCCCCATGAGATTTATGCCTCTCTCCCTCTGTGACCAGTGACACTGAGTCCTCATGGCTGACAAGTTAGTACCTTAAATGCTAGGAACTCCTGTTGGGTACTGACCTGGTGGTTTTGGAATTTTGTGCCTTTTTATGACTTTCTAGACTGTAACTAGCTGGTTCCAGTTATCCTGTACTACCAAGTCATCTTACTAATTTCATGATCTAGTTTTTCCTCAGCAGTTTGTTCCTGTTATGTCATGTCCTCAGTCCATTGAGATTCACCTGCTGTTTGCCATGTTGCATGTTGTACCATTATAGTCTGAGCCAAACTGTAAATACTGTCTGATCTGCATCTTGCTTCTCAATTTGCTTCTCATGACATTTATTATTGTTCCTTGTCGATTCAGTATTGAAACATTAAAAGTACACCTGTTAACCAAAATCTTTTCCTGCTCTTTCTGTAGGTGTTCAGTGATCCTGGAACATTTTTCTCTAGTGCTGTTCAAAGAATGTCTGTTTTGTGAGCAGAAAATTCTTGGCAATTAAGCACAACTTGAAAAAAACCCATCGGGAAGCTGTTCATTTTTCTGTGTTAGATTTATTTATTTGGTCTCTGTCTATATACTGCCTTAGCCTAATGTGCTGTGATTTTTTTTCCCATTTATTATTAAATAATGCCGCCTCAGACCCCACTGCATTAATAGTAATATTGATAATATATAGGTTACTTTATTGCTCCCAGAGGTGGGACAGTGTTTGCCAGGTAGGCTGTAGACTTTTTAATATAAAGGTTATAGATGAAACTTCTTCCATCATCTTCTTGCACGAAATGTCTGATTTGACACATTAACATGGCGTCATATTGTAACTCTGCTCTGTAATGTGTGTCCATTACAGTTGTAATTGAAAAACTCAATGTTTTTCACACCAAACTAATGTAATTACTAGGATGTCCTAGAATTGTGGACCACTTTGTTTTACATAAGTGTCTTGCCTGTTTTAGCTCTCATTCATTATGAGTCTCTTTTATTGTGGTAATTGAGCAGTTCCAGTAAAGCCAAAGGGTTTTAACAGCTTTCCAGAATGGCTGTGGAGGACGTCCTTCCAAGCAGGTTTTTATCTCTTTTTAATGTGACTGTTGTTCTGTCTTTTTTTTTTTGTTTTGAAAAATTAGTCATTGCTTACTTTTACAAAGACAAAACCAGGAAGCCATCATCACTGCCCAGAATGCAACTTCAGGCCATATTCCATTTTTAACTGTACTATTTTATTCAGTTTAATTCTGGATAACACTGCATGTTGCTACTGTGTGTACTGATTTTTTGACAGCATTATTTGAATCTCAAGTTTTATGTAATGTATATTAGCTACAAAAGTAAAGAGTATTAACAAATACAGAGTACACAGTCTTCGTGTAAAAATGCAAAATGGTTACAATAGGCAGAACTGCTACAGTGAGGAACAGAAGTATTTGAACACCCTGCGATTTTGCAAGTTCTCCCACTTAGAAATCATGGAGGGGTCTGAACTTAACATTGTAGGTGCATTCCCACTCTGAGAGACAGAATTAAAAAAAAAATTCAGGAAATCACATTGTATGATTTTTAAAGAATTTATTTGTCTAGCACTGCTGAACATAAGTATTTGAACACCTGAGAAAATCAGTGTTAATATTTGGTACAGAAACCTTTGTTTCTGTAAACAGAGGTCAAACGTTTCCTGTAGTTCTTGACCAGGTTTGCACACACTGCAACAGGGATTTTGGCCCACTCCTCCACACAGATCTCCTCTAGATCTGTCAGGTTTCGGGGCTGTCGCTGAGCAACGCGGAGTTTAAGCTCCCTCCAAAGATGTTCTATTGGA